TTTGCAGCAAATCCAGGTCAGACCCCACTGGGATGGATATCCAGAGTGCTCCCCTGCCCATGGTGACAGGGGGGACATTGGTGCTGGTGAGAGGGGCTGGCTGGGGGGTCCACAGGGATCTCCAGAAAGGAACAATTCATTTTTCTGACAGCCAAGGAGGGCTGTGGGCAGATAGGTCTGACCCCAGGCTGAGAGGGGCTCACTGTGGGGTGCAAGGCTGTCTCTGTGGGTCTGGGCCCTGGCTGGAGACCCCCCTGTGCCCACCCAACACCACCGTGCTGCCACTCCATCTGCACTTAATGATGGCAAATGGGCTGGAGAGCTGGAAAGTCAGGGGAAAGAAACCCAGCCAAAAATCGCCAAAAAACACGGGGAAGATTTTAATTTAAAACCTTTTCCCACATGGAGAGCAGCAGCCTGGGCCATCTGGAGGAGCATATGCAGGTGAGGGGGGGCAGTGGCGCCTCCTCCAGCTCCCCTTGCTCTCAGCATTCTCCACAAAGGGCTTTGAGCTGGTGAAAACTAACCTGGGGGGGACCTGGGTACCCCAATCCCAAACACCAGCCTGGGGGAGCCCAGCTTTCCCCTCCTGAGCTACCAAGACCTCTCTGTTTAATTGCTGTATTTGCTGCAAAAGTGATGATGAATCCCAAAGCAAACTACAATAGCAGCTGAGTTTATTGCTGGAGATTAATTCAGCGGTTTAATTGAAACCACAGGAGCAGGATGGGAAAGCATCAGTGTGGGGCTGGGAGGAGGGGGTCAGGGTCAGCTCTGCTCAGCACCCACATCCACCCCGAGCCCCTGCAACCAACGATGCCCAAATTAGCAGATTTACTCCTCAGAGGACTTCTCCATTGGCTGAGCATCACATCCAGCATCCCAAAGCCCCAAGTCTCCTAGCAACTCCCCAGCTCTGCCTGTGCCCACCCATTAACCCCTTCCCAAGCCCTCCCCACGCTGTGTGGAACACCCGGTGCTCCGAAGGCGTTGCTGCCACACTGGGTGGGAGCAGGGGATTTGTGCAGCAAATAAATCTGCAGGAGGCTGGAGGGAAGCTCAGGATGCTCGGCTGGGTGGGAGAAGCAGGCTGGTTAGCCAAAACTCATGTTTGATTCCAGGTGGCACAGAGAAACCCCTCAGGTTTATGTGTTGGGGGTTTGGTTTCTAAATGTCAGGGTAGTTTGGAAGGTTTTATCCTCATGGCTTGTGGAGATGATGGGGAAAGGTCAGGGAAACCCCCAAATCATGGCCAGCCCGTGCAGCTCCCAGCTGGCATCAGAATCAGGGGAGGCTGAGCATGAGCCAGCCACTTCCTCCAAATTTCAACAGTAAATCAATGACACAGTTTCTTTGAGGATAGGATGGAAGGGAAATTTTCAAGGAAAATGGCCTTGAAAGTGTAAAATCACAGCAGGACATGGTGTGATGGCCAGGCCTGGGATGAAAGAAGTGGGGCTGCTCTGTGATGGTTTTTTCAGATGGGATGTCCAATACTTGCCTGGTTTTGCCTTTAGAGATCAGAAAGGAGGAAACCAGAGTTGGAAAAAATACTGGGGTTTGTGGTTGAAAAACAACAGCTGACATGAAAAAAAACCAAACAAGTTTGTTTGGGTTTTTGGTTTTTTTAACTGTCTTAATATATATAGACTGGGAAATGTATGCAAAGATCACGTGCCTCTGAAAAGGATAAATCATTTCTCTCACTTTAATGTGCTTTGTTGGGTTTTATCAGAAACATTGTCATAAAATTACCAAATTGAAATTTTAAATGGGGGGGAGAGAGGGGATATCTCGAGGGTTTGTTCTTGCTTCTCTTTTCTTATTGCCAAATAAAATACAATTAAAGCAACATTTTCTATGCCAGCCAGCACAGCTAACATCGCTTTTCTGACGGCGCTTTTTTCTGTCAGCCAATGAAAATAAACGATGCAGGATTACCAGGGAGCATCCAGCCTCCGTGGCTGGAGGGGGATGCTGAGCAGCAGGCATTCCAGTTGGAAACAGAAGGATTTTATTCCCGTGGTAAGTGGAAATCTCCAGGGACGTTTCCCACAGAGCTCTCTGCCGCCGCCTGGAGCGAGGCTTTGCTTTCCCTTCGCTCTCCCAGTTCCCACCAGTGCCTCCCAGTCCTACCCAGTGCTTGGCACAGACACATCTGGGAGTGCCAGATTAACTCAGGACCTTCTGCAGCACTTTTGGGGTGACCCCAGTGGGGCTCTGTCCCCCGTGGGGCTCATTTAGTGCCCGGTGGCTCAGCTGCTGCCTGCGCAGAAATCCCCGTGGTAATTGGATGAGGGCACCGCTTTCCGTGAGAATATTAAATCAGAGCCCCAGCCCAATCCAGGGCGACACGCCTGGGGATAGAGAGACACGGTAGATCACGTTACAGAGGAGTTATTTCTCCTGCTTTAAAGTCAAAGGTATTGCAACAACTTTTATTTGTCACAGAGAGTATTGGGGCGCCTCTGATTGATGGGAGAGGGAGGGAGGCAGCCCTTGGCAGAGGGGCTGAGCACTCACCACTCATCACCGTGATGGGTTCTGGGGGCTGTGGGAAAGCCCCCGGGCTTACAGCAGGCTTAAATAGTTCTTAAGTGATTCCCAAGTCTGATTTTCCAAAGCCCCCTGAGAAACCATCTCTGTGACGAGGTGCGAGTGCTCAGCCTCTCTCAGGGGACAGCCCAGGCTGTGCCTGTGGCCACAAACCTTTGTGACAGAGCCAGTGCAGGTGCCAGTGCTGCAAAGGTCCTGGAGGCTTTGTGGGCAGCAGCTCAGTGCCACCATCCCGAGCTCACTCCCCTTGGGACCAGTACAGGGAGCCACTTAGCAAATGAGGGGCTCCAGTGTCCTCCCAGTTACCAGCTTAGCTGGGTCTGTCATTCTGGTGACCATCTGGTGGCATCTGCTGCTGCTCAGCTGTCACCCACCCTCCTGGTGAAGGGGAAATCGGGCACCAGGGGAAATGTCCTGGGGTCCAGCAGGGGATTAGGGGCAGCCATGGCAGGAACATCCCATGGCTCCTGCCACGGTGGGGATGGATGGATGGATGGATGGATGGATGGATGGATGGATGGGCAGGCAGATGGACATTTCCCCACCCACAGCATGGAGACAGGGGGGACACACAGGCAGATGTGCCTTGTTAGCCAATGGAGTGGCCTCAGGTGGTGCTGACAAGCCCATTAAAGGGGTTTATCAAGGGGACTGGGGCTGGCAGGAGGCTGCTGGTTTTATCTGAGATGCTGCTTTTGGGCTGGGACAACCTAAGCCTCTGCTCATTAATTAGAAATGCTTCGAAGAGGTTTGTGCTGGTTGGCCTCACTTGTGAGCAGCAGTAATGTGATGAGCGATTAGGGGCTCTGGAGCTTTTTAGGCAGTGTCATTAGGCTGCTGATGAGCTCAGCAGGGAAAAGGTCCTTTTTGGCTGTGCCTGAAACTGGCTGGTCCTGCTCTGACCTGGTGCTTCCTCCTGCCCTGCTCCCCGACCTCCTGAGCCCAAGGCAATGGGTGAAATCTGTGTCCTGGGGACACGGATGGCTTGGCTGTCACCCTGTGTCCTTGAGCTGGGTCAGATCTGGAGTAGCTCAGCTCATCAGTGAGATGATGAGCTTGTGGTCATGCACGAGTGAAGCTGAGATGTTCCTATTTTCACTGTCTGCCAGGTATTGAGAGAATTTGGGGATGATTACCTCTGAAAAGGTGACTTTAGACCATTTGTGCATCAGGGAAGAGGATGGTGATGTGTGTCCTGACAATTGCTTTGGGTAAGAGCTCCTTTACCTGTTATGGGGTTTCCTCACTTGTCTGGGCACTGCTGGTGAAGCCTTCTTGCTCAGGGACATCCTGACAGTGTCACTGTCCCCATCCTCCCCTTGCCCCTTGAGGGCTGTGGCGAAGCAGGGAGCAAAATCTGCCTGATTTTCTCTGCCCTCCCTCATCTCCAGTCAGCCTTGGCAGAACTTCCTGCAGCTCAGCAGCGTGGTGGCCCCTCCGTGGTCTGGCTGGCATCTCCAGCACTGCATTTACAGCAGTGTTAATTAAATACTTTCTGCAATCAGCGCCACGCATGACCCCGCTCCCCGAGCCGGGCTGGGCTGGAATGTGCCATCATCGAGCGAGAACATCACTGCTGCCATCCCAGGGAATTTCTAATAGAGATTTACTCATCCCAGGCCTCTCGTTTCTCCGTTTTGTGACATTTTGCAAAGTTCAGGTTTACAAAATAAGCCAGCGTGCATGAGAGATGCTCCAGCCATTATTTACACTGCAGGTTCATTTTCCCACTACGCTGAAGATGGGACCTTCACTCAGTGGTCAGCAGAGCTGGGGGATGAGCTAGCAGCTGCCTTTTCCTCCTTTCTGCCCAAGGAGCTGCTGTTTGTGACAAAGAGCACCCTGTCACCCCAACTGTGCCCCCTTGCAGGGCTGGGAGAGTGGCAGAGCCATGTCTGTGCTCATTGGAATGCTGGTGCCATCCTGCAGCTCAGCCTGCCTCCAACCCTGCTCCAGTCCCAGTGCAGGGGATGCAGGGGGAGAGGGAGCTGGACACAGTGTCAAGGAGGGCCAGGTAAGGCTGCTGTGGTTTTTGGGATGTTCAACTGCTCTGCTTTTAGAAACAAGGCTGTGCCGAAAGTGAGAGGAGAGCATGGAGGCAGCAGGCTCTCAGCAGAATCCTCTTACTGTGCCCCAGGTCTCAGCTACAGGCACAAAAACCATTTCTGGCAAATCCCTGGTGGTAGGAGCTGCCTGTTCCAGGAAGGTGAGGCAGTGTGTGTGCTGAAGCACAGGTAGGTGTCCATCCCAGAGGCTTGTCCCTCCATGGCACAAGGTGATGGTCAGTGCCCTCCTGACCCTCTCCCATTTAACCTGTGGGAGGTGGGACCTGGGGAAAACCACCAAGCTGGGTGACCAAACCTTCTCCTCCTCTTCCTCAGGATGGAGCTGTCCATCTTGTGTTCCCCTTCTTCCAGCAAGGTCAGCTCATCCTTTGAGAGAAGTTCCTGCTGGAAACTGAGAACAGAACCACTCCAGGCGTGCAGTGGAGCCCGGGGCAGTGACCCAGCTCTCACCCCAGCTGCAGGGTGTGGATGGGGGCACCCTCAGCCTCAGGGGTGCTGGGGGCAGGTAAGAGGCACCCAGTCCCACACAGCCTGTAAAACCTGGCCGTGCTGGCAGCCTGGAGCTGGGCTGGGGGACACGAGGGGCTGTGGGATGTGGCACACCTCGCTCCTGCCCCGCGCCTGCCTTGTCAGGTCTGATCAGGAGGAGGATCAGTTGGCCCTGTTCCTCGCTCTCCAGATTTAATTAACGGGCCTTTCATCTCTACCCTGAAGGAATCTGCTATCTTCTGTCTTCTTAATTAACGTTCATTAAGCAAATCAGAAGAACATTTTCTCCTCTCCGCCTCCACGGCTTTTAACCCTTGCGGGGAACCAGGTCTGTGTTGGGGCAGAAGAAGCCTCCTGGACAGGCTGGTGTCATCACAGCCTTGGTCACCACATCCCTCAAGTGCTTGGACCAAAGTCCTGGAGCATTGGGTGAAGTCTCTCCAGGTACAGAGGAGTTCAGGTGAGGTTGGACTGTGTTACCAGTGGACCACAGCAAGTGTAGGGCATCTCCCTGGGCAAGGGGCAAACTTGTGCCCACCACCCAGCAGGAACCTGGTGAGTGCTCGTCCTGTCTGGGGCACAGCTGAATCTATCTGGGAATGTGCAGTTCCCACCCCAGCTGCAGCATCCCCACTGCAGAGCAGAGCAGTGTCAGCACCAATTCCCATCAAGCTCTCTGTGCCCCCACACCCAGTGGGCTGTGCTGGAGGAGGAGGAAGAGGAGGAGGGATTGGGGCACTCATCAGCATCCTGAGCCCTGGCTGTGTGGTGTCATGACTCTCTCACATGTCATGACTCTCTCCCCCTCTGTAACAGGGGCAGGCAAATCCTCTCAAGGATGAGTGCTGCATCCCAAGGAGGAGGAGGCAAACCCCTGACACAAAAGGTTTGGTTAGAGCTCGGTGTTAATAGTGCCAAGGTCATGGGATCAATCCCCACATGGGTCATTCACTTAAGAGTTGGCCTCAATGATCCTTTTGGGTCTCTTCCAGCTCAGAGTATTTTATGATTCTATCTCCTGTCCTGAGCTTACAGCCACAAGAAAAGCAAAACACCTGGAAAACCTCATCCCTGCAGGATGCAAATCCCATTAAAACTGGTGCTGGGAACGCGCCGGGCAATAATTGAGCTGCAAACCCTTCTCCTTCTCCCCGGAGGCTGACAGTGGGTTTCCCAGTGGCTGCCCACTCCCAGCAGCTGCTGCACAGCTCCTGGATGCTGGGAAATGCAGCCCTCCCAGAGGAGCTGGCTCTGGCTGTCAGAGCCTGGGTCAATATATGATAATGGGGCTTTGAAACGGCGCTGCTGCCCAGGACTCTGATTCACAGCTCCCCTCTGGTGCTTTCTCCCGCAGCCTGGAGGGGAAGGAGAATAAAATAAATAAGAGTAGAAGGGAAGGGGAAGAAGGGAGCTTAAATTATATATGAGTACTAAGTTTCCAGAGCCCCTGTGAGCAGCTCAGACAAGTGGTGTGGGGGTCAGAGCTCCCCTGTGCATCCCACTTTTGCAAATACTGCCCTGTGGGGTGTGGGTCAGGGTTTGCCCAGGGGCATGGCACCGTGCCAGGCTGCCTCTCTCCCTATTTGCTGCCACCCTCCTGCCCTCATGGGTCAGATCTGGAGGGTGCCGTGGTCCCCAGAGGGATTCCCCTGGCACAGACTATAATTAGCATTAGCTGAGAGCTGCTAATGAGGTCTGGTGATGATCTGGTTTGCTACCCCATGGAGATGCCTCCACAGCAATGTGCCCTCACTCGGGTCCAGGGGACTGGGCTGGCCCAGGGCAGCAGGCAGGGATGGGACCCCCCAATGCAGGGTCCTGGTGGGGAGAGTTGGGGTGTCACAGACCCACAGCCCAGGCAGGCTGGTGTAAGTGGGAGAGCAGTCAATGCCCCCATAAATCAGTGTGGGGAGAAGCTGCTTCAAAGTGAATCTGTTTCAAAGTCCTTGGGGCAGCAAAAACAGTGGTGACCCTTATCAATTGAAGGAAAAAGCCTCATGTGAGGTATGCACCACCACAAGCTCATTCACAGGTCGAGGAAATGGAGGAGCTCAGCTATGCCCACGCAGCTGAAGATGCAAATTCCCAATCCACGAAATGGAGATGCAAAATCCAAAGCAATGGGGATGTTTTGGGGATGGAGCACTGGATGGTCCCATTCCCACAGCCTGAGCACTAGGATGTCCTGCGGGGATCCCAAACTCCACAGCTCTGCCTCTCACACGAATACTTCGACATTCCCAGCAGCTTCCACAAGATGGACCTCGGAGCCAGAGGAGGTGCCGGGCAGGGGGACCCGTCCCATCCCATCCCATCCATCCCACCCCGTCCCGTCCCATCCCGTCCCG